CCCTTTTATCATGTCCTTTCTTCCCTCTTGGCTTTGCCCGCCCCCACCCTCAGAGTCAGGTGAGCATTGCCTCATTGTAGTCCCAAACTGACCAAGGAAGGGGGGGTGACTCACTCGAGAGTCCAACAGATCCTTTGTTGCTGCCTAGGCCAGTGCCCTTTGTTCCTGTGAGGCTGGGCTGGGTTTGTCCCATACCTGCCCTGATGAGGTGTGAACTGTCCCTATGCTCCTGGAGACTTTTGCCTGGCCTTGTTTTAAGCCATGAGGACACATTTTCAGCCTCATAACTACATACATGAAATTACAAAGTATAACATCACTGTAACAGCCATGCTCAGTGCATCAATTAGATACCACACAATCATATTATAAGGATAAACATAGGGGTGCAGGGTGTCCCCCTGAGGTACAGAGTCTCACAACTATTTCTTTTGTTTATCATTTTCACAGTGCAAATATTTGTTATAAAAATAATAATAATATAAAGTGAGCACTATACACTTTGTATGCTGTGTTGTAATATAAATCAATATATTTGAAAATGTTGAAAAACATCCAAAAATATTTAATACATTTCAATTGGTATTCTATTGTTTAACAGTGAAATTAATCACAATTAATTTTTTTGTCAATCGTGTGAGTTAACTGTGATTAATTGACAGCCCTAGTAGTGACACTGTCAGCTTGTTTTCTGTGAGACGACGCTATGAACTGTTTGGAGTCTTACAGAAAAGTGTATCAGATGCAAAGTGGAGACCTCCAAGAGACAATTTGGGTACTCTGAAAAGACTTTTGGGAATCTGGAAAAGTTTATTACATCACTGCCACCATTTGGAATTATAGACTGAGACTCACCTGAGCATACATTTTACCTGCTTTAACCTCTCAATAACTCTGATTTCCTTTTTCTTAGCTAATAAACCTTTACTTAGTTTACTGTAGAATTGCCTACCAGCGTTGTTTTTTTGGGATAAGATCTGAATTACCAACTGATCTGAGGCTGGGACTGGGAACAACCTGATGTGGTATGATTTTTTGGTTTGTGACCTTTAATCACAAGTCCAGTTTGTCTGGATGGCAAGATAGACCTGAGAGGCTAAGAGGACTGTCTGTGACTCTATGGTAAGACTGGTATAGTGATCCAGGAGTTTACATTTGTCACTGGCTTGGTGAAACATAATTATAGAACATACCACCGGCTTGGGCTGTCTGCCCTGTTTCTGACAGTCTGCCCTGAGATACGCACTCACAGTTGTGAGCCTCTCCAGACAGCATGACAGTCTTGATGATAATTGGTTCTGTTGCACCCAGGTAGAGAAATGCTTCCATTTGACTAGATAACATTTCCTGGTAGAATCTTTCCTGCTCTGATTGAAGATAATTTGAATGGCCTCCAAACATGAGGTCTCGAAGTCTGATGCCCATCCAAATGCCAAGCTGTGATGTGAAGAGAATCTGGGTTGGGATGTCGGCTCCTACCATTCTCCTGAGTTAGAAGGTCTGGGAAAGACTGAATTCTGATGAGATGATGGGTTGACATTTTTAGGAGGTCCAGAAACCAGAATTGTCTGGATCAATTGGGTGCAATGATAATGACTAGTGCTTTGTTGTGACAAATCTTCCATAGAACCTGGGAAAGTAGTGGGAAGGAGGGAAGGCATATCTCTAGTGGCCTGTCCAGGACAGTAGGAGGACATTATACCTGGAGTCTTGACTTTGTGCTGCTCTGAAACAATATACATTGAACTTCTTGTTTATCTGGGAGATGAAGAGGTCTCAAGTTGGGGCATTCCCCACTGAGTGAAGAGGTTAATCAGCACTGAATTGTACAATGCTCACTCATGATCAGTGGCAAAATGCTGCTGAGGCTGCCAGCAAGCTCTGAGCATCTGTGTGGTACATTGCAGAAGTTGTGATGTGGTTCAGGATGCACCAGTTCCATAAATTGATTGCCTCTGTGCACATTGCGAGGGATTTTGTCCCTCCTTGTTTGTTTATATGGAAAAAAGTAATCATGATGCCTGACATTTTCTGGACCTGTCGGGATCATATAAGTGGTAGGAATGCTTTGCAGATCCATCGGACTGCTCTAAATTGCAAGAGACTGATATGCATCCTGGCCTCTTGAGGTGTCCACATGACTTGTGCCATGTGATTGCCCATGTGGTCTCCCCAGCCTCTGAGGGATGTGTCCAGGATTATCATCATGACAAGTGTGGGTGGTAGAAAAAGGCCTCCAATGCACACATTCAAGTTCATCCACCAGGTGAGTGAAGCCCTGATATTGATGGGGATTGTAACTATGATATTCATGCTGTGCCTGTCTGCCATATATATCTACTGGAGCCAGGCTTGCAGACAACAGAGATGCTGCCTGGTGAACAGCACTATGTAAGAAAGAGAGATGTGGACTGTTACTTGGGGTTTGTGAGTGGCTTGGTTTATCAGACAGGTCATGTCATGGAATCTGTCTGCAAAAAGGAAGGATCACCCCAATAAAGTCTATGAGCTTTGTGAGAGTCAGAGTACACTTTTCCATGTTTACACAGATTCCCAAGAATGCCAGGAGGTGGAGCAAGGACAAGGTTGCTGACTGAACTTCCACATGGAATCCATCACTTAGAAGCAAGTTGTCCAAGTATGGGAATATGGTGTAGCCATTTTGTCTCATCTGTGCTGCAACCACTGAGAAGACTTTCATGAAGACCCTTGGTGCCACAGCCAGACCAAATGAGAGTACCTTGAACTGATAGTGTTCCGGTCCTATCAGAAATGTGAGAAGTCTTCTGTGAGCTGGGTAATGTCCACATGAAAGTAAGGATCTTTCATGTCTATAACTACAAACCATGTATCTTTTCTCAAGGAAGGAATTAGTGATGCCAAGATAACCATTAATTTGAGAATAAAAATATTTAGCTGAATGGGCCTCTATCCTCCTTTTTTCTTGGGTTTGAAATAGTTGGAGTAGAACTCTTTCCCTTGATGCTGAAGTGGCACATGTACTATAGCTCCTCGCTCAAGGAGAGAGTCTACCTCCTGTCAGAGGAGCTCCTCATGAGAGTGGTCCCTGAATTGGGGTCAGGAAGGGGGTTTTGGAGGAGGTAGAGAAAGAAATGCAACTGCATAGCCAAAGTGGATGATATCTAGCACCCATTTGTCCATTGTTATAGCCTTCCAGTTCTGGGTAAAGTACACTAGGCAGCCACCAAAAGGGAGTTTAGAAGCAGGTGGGGGATAGCATTATTGTTAGGTTGCAACTCTCAAGTATCCCATCAAAAGTAACCTTTAATTGATGGATGAGGCTGTGTGGCTGTTGTCATGGTAGGTGAGGCTGCATCCCTTAGCCTCTGTACTCTTGGATGGTTGCTCAGCAGTTTGTATGGTCATTGGTGGTAGAAAGGCTGTGGAAGAGGCCTTGGATTATATACTGGTTTTGATACCTCCTCTTTGGGGCCAGGGTATATATGCCCAGGGAATGGAGGGTTGTTCTGGAGTCTTTTATCAAGTACAAAGGCTTGTCTGTTTTCTCATTAAAGAGATTGGTTTAATTGAAGGGCAAATCCTCTGTGGTGCTCTTGGGGAACCATGAAGAGTGAAGTAATGATTCTCGCCTCATTACTATTGTGGTTGCTATAGACCTTGATCCATTATTGACTGCATCCACTGCAGCTTGCTGTGAGGTTTTAGCTATAAGTCTCCTTCTTCAGCCAAGACTTGAAACTGGGCCCTCTCCTCCTCAAGGAGTTTGTCTTTGACCCCTGGAATAGTTCATAAAATCATATTTCATACAAGGGCCTGGTAGTAAGAGATTTTAAACTGGAGGCTGGTGGAGGGAAATACCTCTCCCCTCCCTTCCCCCTCACCCCCTGCCCCGAAGGTCCAAGCATTTATCTTCCTTGTCCACAGGGGTGGTTTTAGAATGTTTCTGCCTGGATTTTTTGTGGCTGCTTGTATACTAGGATGCTGGGGGCAGAATGGGGAAGCTAGACTTCTGCCCCTCTTGCAGGCACAAAGTAACATTTCTCAGCCCTTTTAGGAGTAGGGCTACAGGATGCTGGTGTATGCTACAATACTCTAGCTGATTCCATACTGGTCACATTTACTGGAAAAGCTACATGAGTGGGTCCAGTGAACTGCAGGATATTTAAGAGCTTATACTGCATATCCTAAACTTCTTCTAATGGAACCTGAAGTTCTGCTGCCACCCTCTGCAATAGTTCTTGATATTGCCTATAGTTGTTGGGAGGAGATGGTAAAAATTGGGCAATTGCCTTATTGGGTGAGGAAGATGATATGCCTTTTGGTATTGCTGCTACCAGTGGATCCAGCTCGTCATTTTCCTCTTCCAACTACTCCTGAGCATGGAAGGGGGTGAAAAATAATCCACTTGGTGGAGATAGGCACCTCCCCAAGGCAGTAAAGGTAGTGCTGGTGGTCATCACTGACAGAGAAGGAGCAAGAACAGGAGACACAATTTTTAAATCCTAGGCATAGTATTACTCCCAAAAGGCGGGACAGAGAAGGTTCCTGAGGTGGGAAAAACTAAGCTACACTACTATATAAAATATTATAAAACACTAACAAACTATATACAATTATATTTACAGAGATATTGAGTGATCTGTCCTGGGTCTGGTTCTAGTCAATATCTTCATAAATGATTTGAATAGGGGCAAAGATAATATATTTGAAAAGTTTGCAGATGATACCAAGCTGGGAGAGGTTGCAAGTGCTTTGGAGGACTGGATTAGAATTCAGAATAAACTGAACAATCTGGAGAAATGGTCTGAAATAAATAATATGAAATTCAATAAAGGCAAATGCAAAGTACAACCCTCAGAAAGGAATAATCAATTGCACAAATAAAAAATGGGAAACGATTGCCTAAAAAGGAGTACTGCAGAAAAGGATCTGGAGGTTATAGAGGATCACAAACTAAATGTGAGTCAACAATGTAATAGTATTGCAAAAAAATAAAAATAAAAGAACATAATTCTGGGATATATTAGCAGGAATGTTGTAAGCAAGACATAAGAAGTATTCTTCCATGCTACTCAGCACTGATAAGGCCTCAGCTGGAGTGGTGTGTCCATTTTTGGGCACCACACTTTGGGAAATGTGTGGACAAATTGGAGAAAATCCAGAGGAGAGCAACAAAAATGATGAAAGGTCTAGAAAACATGACCTACGAGGAAAGATTTAAAATACTTGGGTTTGTTTAGTCTGGAGAAGAGAAGGGAAGACATGATAACAGTCTGCAAGAAAATAAACAGTTGCTATAAAGAGGAGCGTGATAAATTGTTCTCCTTGTCCTCTGAGGACAAGACAAGAAGTAATGGGCTTAAATTGCAGCAAGGGAGATTTAGGTTAGACATTAGAAAAAAATTCCTAGCTGTAAGGATAGTTAAGCACTGGAACAAATTATCTACAGAGGTTGTGGAATCTTTGTCATTGGAGGTTTTTAGAACAGGTTAGCCAAACACACGTGTTAGGGATGATCTAGATAATACTTAGTCCTGCCTCAATGCAGGGAACTGGACAATGACCTATCGAGATCCCTTCCAGTCTTACATTTCTATGATTCTGTGAAGATGATGGAAGGATAAGTCCAGACACAGAGGATTCTGACTCAGGCCATGCAGCTGTACAAAGACATTGGAGAGGTGGTCAGTTCACCCCCCCCATTATATCCTCCATTCTGAGCACAAGATATCCAGGGGGTAGGTGCGGAACAACAGACATGACTTCAAGATTTTTCAGTGTCAGGTGCATGCATATCCACATGTGGAATACACATAGGGACCAGCACATGAAGAAAAACCTGGCCCCAGTGAAGTCAATGGGATTTTTGTCATTGACTTCAGCAGAACCAGGTTTTCATTCTAGGTCTTCACTTATGGTAATAAGAATGTGAGACATTAGATTAATACTGATTCTATGCCTCTACATATGTTTGTTGTCCATCTCTAAACTTTCTTTGTTTCTACTATATCTTTCTGAGGTAGGGTGACCAGAATTGAACACAAAGGGCCTGTGATGGGGTTTACAGACTCTACACTAAATAAGGGCAATGCACAGAGCACTACTGTGCTAGGGCGGCCCCATTGCTCAGCAGCTGCAGGGCATGTTCCAGGTGGAGAGATAGTTTAAAAGGGCACCTGTAGCCCATGGGACAAGGAGCAAGGAGCTACTAGGCAGCACTAGGAGATCAGGCTGACTCCTGGAGCTGTCAGAGGAGTGACAGAATTCCTAAGACTACTCTGGAAGCAGTGATCCAGATTCCCCACCCTCTCTTTGAGAGTGGGAAGCTCACAAGAGCCTGTGAAGAGACTGTGAAGAACAGGACACTGTCCCACAGAGAGACTAAGTGGCTACTTCTGAGCCTGTGACCATGCCCAAACAGAGGAACCACACCATGATAGGAAGTGACCCAATGGAGAGTATAGCTTGGGGTGGACCAGCAAGTGGTCCAGACATTGTAACACTCCTCAAGGGTCCAGGGTCAAGACCTGGTGCTGTGAGGTGGCCTAGGTCCCCCTTTCTTGCTCCCATGTACCTTCAGCATGACAGAACCCTCAAGGGGAATGGAAGAAAAATTCAGGAAGGATTGAGGTCTGCTGCATACAACTCGACTGGGGCCCTTTCTAGAATGACCAGGACTGAGAGAACTGTGGAGCCGTTGCCTGATCACCTGGCCAGCTGGCCATCAGATTGACCCACTACAAAATTGGTGAAGAATGTGGGGAAAAGGTTATCAGGCCTAAAGGAAACCTTCAGGCATTTAAAAATAAAAAAGGAAAGAGGGTTTTCTAGATGGATCTTGAGAAGATGTAAAAGAGGGTCGTGGAGGATCAACAACTGTCACAACAACAAGAAACCCAGTTACTGCAGCAGCTAGTGATACAACAACAGGCTCTGAAGGAACAGTAGCAGCAGCAACAGCTTGTTACGGAGTTGACTACTTAATACAGGGAGAAGCAGCAACCCCCTGGTGCAACAGATGGGGACAGTGCTGCAATTCCAAAACATGCCATCTAATCTGTTGGTGGGAGTGGCTAACCCTAACCCATCTCCAAACCTCTCTCTGAAACTGACAAAAATGGGACCAGATGACAAGCCCAAAGATCACCATGGTGGCCCATTGGCTGGTGAAGAGCTGGGCAGTTCTGATAGCTCCTGACCTGACAGAGACAGACCAGGCTGTATACCAAAGTCTCAATGTGATGGTGGCACAGGAGTATTCCCTACTTAAGGCAGCCATATTACGTTCTTTTGGCATGTCCAGTGAGACTCACCACCAGAGGTTCTGATGAGAGAGGTTCTCAGCCACAGCTCAACCTAGGATAGTGGCCCAGGCATTAAAGGAACATTGCTGGTGGCTGCTCCATCCTGAGGAAAAGACAGGAATACAGATGGAAGAGAAGATCATGTTAGAACAATTCATCCAGATCCTCCCACCCAAAGTACAGGAGCGGGTGGTTCAACATTGATCAGGGACTCTGTCAGAAGCAGTGAAGCTGACCAAAAACTACATGCTGACTGCAGGGTGTGTCAGAGAAATACCCAAAGGGGACCCAGCCCAGCCATAGCCAACTCAAACAACTGGAGGAAGAGCCTGGAGTGGAGGTGTGAGAGGAACCTGGCTGTCCTAGCCAAAATGGGGGTGATCAACCAAACAGAGACTGACCTCAGAAATTCACCCTCATGGAGAGATGGGACAGGACAATAGTTCCAGCCTGGCATGAGGCTCTCTACTGCCCTGGAAAC